CTTTGATGGATTTAAAGAGGAAGGTACAATTCGCCATGGCAGGCTGCCACGGGGCAAGGTCGGCTGTCGAGATGGATGCAATGGAAAATTCCTGAATTTATCCACCAGGAGCCGGAGAGGGAGCCTGAAGCCTGCTCTCTCCTAGAAAGACAATCAGGAAGGAGAGGGGTGTCCAGACCAGGAGCATCCAAGGGCTGTGGGATGGGATCACGTGATCCAACACGCAAAGAATAGGAATCCCAGAGGGAGAAGCAAGAGAGAGGGGCAGAAGAATATTTTAAGAGACAATGGCTAATAATTTCCCCCAATTAAAGACATCAAATCACAGATCCAGGAAGCTCAGAAAATACCCAGCAGAGTAAATACCTCCCCCCGAACACAGACCCAGACATCTCATATTCCAAATGCAGAAAACTAAAGAGAAAGAGAAAATTCGTGAAGACAGCCATGAAAAAAAAAAAGACACGTTGCCTATGGAGGGACCAAGACTAGAAAAAGAGTTGACTTCTCACCTGGAACCATATAATTTAACAAGATGAGCAGCATCTTTAGAGTGGAGATGGGAACCGTCAATCCGGAATTTTATACCTAGCGAAAATATCATTTGAAAATGAAGGAGAAACACAGGGTTTTTCAGCAAACAAGAACTGAGAAGGGGGCCGGCCCAGTGGTGCAGTGGTTAAGTTTGCATGTTCCGTTTCAGTGGCCCGGGGTTCGCTGGTTCGGATCCCGGGTGTGGACATGGCACCAATTATCAAGCCATGCTGTGACAGGCGTCCCACATATAAAGTAGAGGAAGATGGGCACGGATGTTAGCTCAGGGCCAGTCTTCCTCAGCAAAAAGAGGAGGATTGGCAGCAGTTAGCTCAGGGCTAATCTTCCTCAAAAAAAAAAAAAAGGACAGAAGATTCATGATTGGCAAGACACCCACTTTTAAGTATAAAAAGATAGAGAGGCTAAGAATAAAAAGATTCAGAAAACATACCAGGAAAGCACTAATTTGAAAAATGCTGGAGTGGACACACGAAAATCAGACAAAATGCACATCAAAGCAAGGGACGTATTCTGCTAAAGGGGACAATTCACCAATCCTGAATGTGCGTGCCTCTGACCACATACAGCCAATCAATGATCTGACCGCATACCATCCAAAGACTCGAAGCACAAAGCGGGAGAGCTCGGAGGAGAAACGGGCACATTTACAATTATTCTTGGAGACGCCAACGCTGTCGTCTCAGAGTTCTCCCACCGAAGGAAACTGTGCAAAGAGACAGAAGACCTGAGCAGCTCCATCAACCAGCTTGAGATGACGTTTACCGCCCTCTCCATCCAACAGCAGCAGGATCCCCATCCTTTTCGCATTCACGGGGACCGCTCGCCAAGATAGACCGCATTCTCTCCTCCTGGTCACCAAGAGAGGCCGTCGAACGGACTTTAATACACCGGAGAGAATTCAGACCGTCCAAACGATGCTCTCTGACCGCAACCAAACGAAACGAGCTATCAATCACAGAAAGATATGATATGTGAAAAAAAAAAATCTCCAAATATTTGGAAATTAAACCACCAACTTCCTCATAACCTAGAACAAAGAGGAAATCATGCGAGACATGGCGAAATACTTTTAATTCGGTGAAGATGAAAATACAACGTATCAAAAGTTGTGAGAGGCAGTGAAAACAGGGCTTAGGAGAAAAAATTGCAGCTTTAAATGCTTATTTATAAATTATGTGAATGGACTCCATGGCGTTGATCTGTACGCCTAAAAATGTTTGTTACATGTATTTTACCATAATTGAAAAAAATACAAGGGGGAAAAAGGAACCTGCATGTTGTGGGAATGACAGCATCCCCTCTGCCGTTTCCTATTGGCTGGAGCACCATCCCCTCTGCCGTTTCCTATTGGCTAGAGCATCATCCCCGTTGCCGTTTCCTATTGGCTAGAGCACCATCCCCTCTGCCGTTTCCTATTGGCTAGAGCAGCATCCCCTTGCCGTTTCCTATTGGCTAGAGCATCATCCCCTCTGCCGTTTCCTATTGGCTGGAGCATCATCCCCCTTGTTGTTTCCTATTGGCTAGAGCATCATCCCCCTTGCTGTTTCCTATTGGCTGGAGCATCATCCCCTCTGCCGTTTCCTATTGGCTAGAGCACCATCCCCTCTGCCGTTTCCTATTGGCTAGAGTATCATCCCCCTTGCCGTTTCCTATTGGCTAGAGCAAGCCGCAGGTCCTGCGACACTCAAGGGGCAGGGCGACCCTACAGGGTGGATGTCGTGGAGGTCGTAGCCACCGCCACAGACCTGCCCCGCTCAGGACGCCCAAGCCCCGCACAATCCGCCCTTCGGACAGGAGTGCCCTCCTCTGACCCTTGACCTTCATCCCCACATTTCCAGGTCCCCCGAATGCCACCTCCCCCTGGCAACCTTCCATGACCCGCCAAGGACTCGGGCGCGGACAGATCCCCACTTCCTTTGAGTTTCAACTTCCCGTCTGTACAGTGGGTCCCACGATGCCCTCTTTGCAGCTTTGCTGTGAAAGCCACTGTGGTGTCAGATGTCCCCAAGCCAGGGCTCTGGGCATGAGACACTCATTCACTCATTCATTCTTTGACTTTTATTGAGCACCTGCTGTATGCCAGGTCCCGGGGCACACAGCAGGAGTAAGGCAGACCCCGATGGTGCCCTGGAGCTCGCAGCATGCGGGGGGGGGAAAGGGACATTAGAGGGATCATTCTATACATCCCCGTTTAAATGACAAAGGTGACGAATCCAGCCAAGGGGTAGTCTGGGGCGCCCCAGCCTCATCTAAGTTGCTTTCCTGGAAGGCGGCCGAGCATCTTTTCACTTAGTCTGCCCGCGGTCTGTTCTCACACAGCAGCCAGAGGGAGAGCTGGAAATGCAGAGACTGTCCCGCCTCTCTCCTACCTGAAACCCTCCCACGGCTCCCTGCTGCCTTTGGGTTATAGACCAGCATCCTCACCGGGTCTCCCGGGCCTGGGACACCTGCCTTGTCAGCCCCCTACTGACTTCTCCCACCTCCAGTGACCCCAGGCTACCCCTGTTGGGGGAAATGAGGTGAGAACAAGTTCGCACGTGAGTGTCTGGGGCAAGAACGTTCCAGGCAGACGGCACAGCTGGTGCAAAGGCCCTGGGGCAGGACTGGGCCTGGCATGTTGAAGGAGTAGCGAGGAGGCCTGTGTGGCTGGAGCAGAGGGAGCGAGGACAAGAGAGGGAGGAGGGAAGGTGAGGGCAGGGGACGCAGGAGGTCGTGCAGGGCCTGGGGGGCACGGTGAGGACTTGGGTTTCTCCCACGAGTAAGGTGGGAGCCTGGAGGGTTGCGGGTGGCGGAGGGCGGGCCTGACTCAGGGGCTCCCGGGCGCCCTCTGGTGGGGAGCTGCGGGGAGGTCAGACCATGGTGGGGGCGAGGGCGGGAGCCCGGGGGCCAGGGCGGAGGGCACTGCGCTTGTCCAGGGGGCGATGCTGGGGGACCACGTGGAGACAGTGGAGAGAGAAGTGGGCGGATCCGGGGTAGATTTTAAATCGATCAAACCGCCTTGTTTTCGGCGGAGCCCCCAGTGGGACGGCGCTTCCATTTCCTGCGGGAGAAGCCACTTTGGGGGGTAAGTGGGGAATTCTAAGAACGTGCTGAGATTGGGGCGCCTCATCTACGTGCAGACGGCGAGGGGCCGCTGGACCCCGAGTCTGGGGCTCAGAGGAGGCCCGGGCGGGAGTCAGGACCGTGGGCGTCATTGGGGCGCAGACGGGGTTCGAGCCTTGAGGGCGGACGGGGCCGCCGGGGGGGAGGGGGCAGGTGGAGGGAGGGGGAGACGGAGGAGGGGGCCGAGCAGCGCGGGTCCAGGAGGAGGGCGCCTGCCAGTCGGACGGAGACTGAGATGTGACCACCGGGTGTGGACCCTGGGAGGTCGCCTTTGGGCCAGGACAGTGCGGGGGACAGAGGGGCAGGGCGGAGAGAGGGGGCCGGTGAGGGTTTGACAGTTCTTTCCGGAGAGTCTGCTGTGAAGATAATCAGCAAAAACGGAGAGCTGAACGCCGGTGGGGGTTGGGGAGGGTGTCCAGGGACGGTTGTGGGTGTTTTTTCTTTTCTTGTTTTTAAGAAATTACAGCCTGTCTGTGCTGCTGACGAGGGGAATGGCCGGGCTGGCCAGCGGCCTGGGGTCTGGCGGGCCATGCGGGAGGCGGTGCCCGCGACCTCGTGAGATGATGAGAAATCCGTGTTTGCCCTCCGTCGGGCTCCTGGCGCAGAGCTCCTGAGACCCCGTCATTTCCCGGGTGACAGGGAGAGAGGACCCCCCCACCCCGTGTGTGCTAACAGGGCTGGGGCGGCGGTGGGGACAGAGGGATGGGCGCTCAGCCTCCCCGACCTCCTGGGAGAGGAGAGGGGCTGGGGACCCAGCCGATCACCACTGACCGACGATTTCATCAATGCTGCCCCAGTGGCGGGACCTCCATCGAACACCGGTCCCTGAGCCCTGGGCCGCGGGGTCTGCGTCAGGTCTCCACTGAACTGTGGGACAGCCCGGTGGTGACCGCGGCGTAAGGGCCTGGTAGCAGCACAGGCCATCGTGCTACCAGCAGGTCGTGGTGCCCGAGGACCCCCAGCTCCTGTGTGCATGCCCTTTCTGGTGTCGGGGCTGTCGTGGACCAACAGAAAGCAGCAGAAATGACATACTTAGACCCGTTTCACGGAGCGGTAAGTGGGCTGGTTGAGGCCGCACGCGGAGGAAGTGAGGGGCCAGCTGGGATGGGAACCCCCACCCCGGGCTCCTAGCCACACCACTAAACCCGTTCCCCGTGGCCCCCAATCGGAGCTGGGTGAGGATGAGGGTCTGGGGAGGCCCGGCTGACGCCTGGAGGGGGCTGGCTGGGCAGTCTGTACCCCGGGAACTGGCGGTGAAACGGGCACGCGGGTGTGCGTAGTGGCTCAGGTTCCGCTCTCAGGCGCCCCGCCCCCACACACAGATGCCCCCAACACTCTGAGAGTCACGCTTGGCAGAAATAATTTAATGGTCGATCCGGGCAAGTGTCCTGGGGTCTGCCTGGCCCTCCCCGCCGCAGCACAACCCCCGGACGCCCACAGCCCCTCCGCAGGCCCGGGGGAGGCGGGGGGACGGGTTTCAGCAACGCCTCTCATTCCTAGAGGGGCTGGGCCGCGGAACCCCCACCTCGGAGCCCAGCCCCGCCCCCCAGATGCCCACCCAGCCGACACCCCGCCCCCCGGGAGCACCGCAGAGACCTCAGCCTGGCCCCGGGGGCAGGCGGTCTAGACGCGGGAGTCGGGGCCGGGGTCGGGGTCGGGCGGCGGCGCGCGCAGGCGCTCCAGGCCGTCCGCGTACTGGAAGGCCGCGCCGCTCTCGTGCGCGTACAGGTCCAGGGCCACCGCGCAGCTCTCGCGCACCACGCGCTCGGGGTCGCCGGCGTGCGCGCGCAGCGCGGCCAGGCAGGCGGGCCTGGCGATGGCCCCCAGCGCCTCGGCGCACTCGTGCCGCACCATCGGGCTCTCGGCGCGCCGCGCCAGGGCGGCCGCCAGCGCGGGCACCGCCGCCTCGTGCTGCAGCTGGCCCAGCACGTAGCCGACCTCGTGGCGGAACAGGGCGCTGCCGCAGCGCAGGCCTGCGGGGGTGGGAGGGGGGTCAGGAAGGGCTGGAGACGGGGCTCCCCATCTGCAGGACGCCCCGCCCGGGCCCCGGGGTCAGCGCTCACCCTCGGCCAGCGCCAGGGCGGCCTCCTCGCCGCCGGTGTCGCGCAGGGCGAACATGGCCCGGTAGCGGTCGAAGAGCGGCCGCGCCTCGTCCAGCAGCGCCGCCCGCAGACGCCCCACGTCGCGCTCCTCGGCCGGGGGCGCCGGGTCCACCGAGAGGTAGGGCCCCTCGGGCGCCGGCGCGCCACCGCGCTGCTGCAGCCACTCCAGCCGCCGCACGGCCAGCTGGCACGTCTCCGCCACCTGCAGGTGGTCCACACAGCAGCTGTCAGGACCGGGCAGGCCAAGGGCCCCCCCCCCGCCCCCCGCGGTGGGCATGACAGCCCCCTCCCCACCCTCCAGGGCTCCATGCTTAGTGGGGGCTTACGGGATTAGGGGGTGACCAGGGGGACACAAGGCCAGGAGGGGCTCAATATGGAGGTGACATCAGAACCAAGGGGGAGAGGGAGTCAGGTGGAAACAGCCGTGCAAAGGCCCTGAGGCAGGACCGTGCCGCACACGTCTGGGAAGAGCAAGCCAACTGAGGGGGAACGAGCAACAGAGGCGAGGTGACGTGGTCGGGCCACTGTTCAGGGCCTGCGGGCCCCAGCGAGGACGTGGGACGCTGTCCTAACGATGATGATAAACCAGGAGTGCTGGAGCCATAGAACACGTCAAGAGACTTCAGAGTGCCATACATCCCTGGCTGCCAGAGGGGAGACGGGGGGCGGGCCGTGGGAAGTAGATATGGCAGGTGGCACGCATGTGCAGAGCAGCCGAAAGGTGGAACAGCCCAAATGCCATCAGCTGATGATGGACAAATGCAATGTGGTATCGATGCTTAGAATGGAACATTACATAGCTGTGAAGAGGAGCGAGGCCCTGACACGGCCGCACGTGGACGGACCTGCACACACGACGCTCAGGGAGAGGAGCAGACACAGAAGGACACACGGCGTGTGACCCCATGGACGTGAAACGTCCAGATTCACAGACAGAGAGCAGGCTCGTGGGTGCAGGGGCTGGGGGCGTGGGGGGGTGACTGCTGATGGGATGGGGTTTCCTTTTGGGGGATGGAATGTTCTGGAACCAGACAGAGGTGATGACCGCATAGCTCTGGGTATGCCCTGCCACCCAATGTACACGTGTGAAGAGTGAATTTTAGGCTGTGTAACTTATCTCAATAAACCTGTTATTAAAGGAAAAAGAAGGAAAGGTGGCAGGGAGGGTCTGGAAGAGGTGGGTGGGCCGGAGGCGGGTGGGGGGGACCCTGGCGGAGGGACTGGACATAGGAGACGCGGGACAGCGGCGAGGTGGGCTCCACGCAGCTCAGGGCCGGGTGGCGCGGGCTGGTCCCCGGCATCCGGAGCCCTGCTCTGCCCCGTGGGGCAGCGGCCACCCTGGCGGCTGCCTCTTGTCCCGCATCCCTGGCCCCGCGGTCGCCCTGGCAACCAGACCCAGGGGGGAGGGCTGGTCCTGGGACCCGGGATGGGCGGGGAGAGGGCCGGTGGGGCGTTACCTCGACGACGGGGTCGGCCTCGAACTCCTTCAGGACCTCCAGCACTTCGGGGCTCCCGATGGCCCCCAGGGCCTCCCCTGAGAAGACAGGGCAGAGCGCTGTTGGCCGGCCAGGGAAATGTCCTGGGGCCCCGCCAGCCAGTGACACGGCCCCTCGGGCTGCCCTCCCCACAGCTCTGCCCTGCTATGCGGTCCCACCCCCACCTGGCCGGTGGCAGCAGGAGCGGCACAGCCCACGAGCTGGCCCTTCCCCAGAAGCTGGACTTGACTGGAACTGGGCTGGGACGCGACCCGGCCCACACCAGAGCTCACGGCCTCAATGGGGAGACACAGACAAGCGTGTCATGACGACTTGGGGTCACAGGTGACAAAGGTCTCCAAGAACATTCAGAGGAGTGGAGCCCGTCAGGGAGAGCCCCCCGGAGGAGGAGGCTCAGCTGACCATGGCAGGGCTTGACGGCAAGGCCTCTGGGTGAGAGGGGATGGCACGTGCCAAGGCCCTGGGGCAGGCAGGTGGAGTACAGGTCGCCGGTAGGCAGGGGCAGGTGTGCAGAAACTGGGCAGCAGGTGTGGGACTGGGCAGGGCCTTGTGGGCCACAAGGAGGAGTGTGACCGTTTTCCCAGGGCCACAGACGGGTGCTGAGCACGGTGGAGACCCGAGGCCTCCTTCAGTCACTCCCTCCTTGTGCTCTACAAACCGGTGGAGGATGCTCTTGCCCACAATCCAGAACATCCTCCTGGACCTGAATCTGAGTTGGTCCCTCCCTCCTCTGCCTGAAGCCCTCCAGGCTCCCCCTCCCTCAGGGGGGAAGCTCGAGTCCTCCCCGTGGCGTCCCAGGCCCCGCATGACCTGCCCCGCCCCCTCCCCGCCCTCCCTCCTCCCTCTGCTCCAGCCTCACAGGCCTCCTTGCTGTTCCTCCCACATGCCAGCCTCGGGCCTGCCCCAGGGCCTTTGCACAGGCTGTGCCCTCTGCCTGGAACACCTTTCCCCAGATATCCACCCAGATAACTCCCTTACTGCACTCAGGTCTCTGGTCACCAATTACAAATGGTGACACCTCCAGCCCCCTCGCCTGTTCTCGGCTTTACTGTTCTCCTTAGCACTTACAGAAGTTTTTCCACCCTAACACGACTGTGCGCTCTGCAAAATCACACTGAAAATAACAGAGCCTCTGGGAAGGGCGAGGTTTGGGGTGGGGCGTGCTTGTAAAGCGGCTCCAGCAAAAACAGTCACGGGAATCTAGAGAGTTCCCTGGGGCGGCCGGGGCTGGGGGCCGGCCTCAGCAGAGAGACTGGCTCGGGGAAGGTTCAAAATGCCCAGAAACCATCGAATGGAAACCCAGGCCCGGCTGACGACCTGGCAGCGAGCTCGCCGGGCACAGACACACGGCCTCGGCGGCCCAGGCCCGCCAGGGGCGCTGCTCCTTTGTTTCCTGTCTGTGTCCCTCACAAGAACAGGGCCTGGTACACAGCAGGCGCCCAATAGATGTCTGTCCGATGAAAGAAATGAATGAACGAAACAGACATCAGGGGCTGGCCGTCTGTGGCCACCACCTGTCTTCATAGGAGCGAGGAATGGTTTTTGACATTTTTAAAATCAAAGGCAGGAGGCCGGCCCGGTGGCATAGTGGTTAAGTCCGTGCACTCCGCTTAGGCAGCCCAGGGCTCATAGGTTCGGATCCTGGGAGCGGACCTAGTACTGCTTAGCAAGCCACGTGGTGGCGGCGTCCCACATACCAAATAGGGCAAGATGGGCACCGATGTCAGCTCAGGGCCAATCTCCCTCAGCAAGAAGAAAAAAAAAAAATCAAAGGGCTAATATTTTATGACACGTGAAATTTAACTCTCAGGGTCCACAAAGGGGTTCTGACCTGTGCCATGCCGGTGTGTTGACGGCGGCTTTTATGCCACAAAGGCAGAGGGGAGCTGTGGTGACAGAGACTGGCCTGCCCCGTATGGAGAAGTGTCCTGGCAGAGATCATGCAGGCGGACATGGACGCGGGAGGCTGAAGGGGACAGACGGCCGGGGGTGGGGGGACCACTCACCCGCCTCGTGGCGCACCATGGGCTCCTGGCGGGTGTCCCGCAGCACGTCCACCAGCACGGGCACGGCCCGCGGGTCCTGCAGCTGGCCCAGGCAGTAGGCCAGCTCGTGTTTGAGCAGCGCGGAGTCGTCATCGAAGGCCCGGCTGATCCAGGCGATGGCCGCGGGGCCGCCGAGGCCGCGCAGCGTGAAGAGCGCCCGGAAGCGGGCCTGTAGGGGCTGCTGTGGGTCCACCAGCGAGCGCCCGATGGCTTCCACCTCCTGCTCGGTCACCATGGCGCCCGCCCTGCTCCGCCTGCCGTGGGCCCGCCCGGGCACGAGAACCTATGGCGGAAACCGGGCGGCAGGTCAGGGACGTCCTTCGCCCGCTCACGGGGTTGTTGGTTGACGTTCGGACCTGGGCGGGGTGGTTTTCTGGGTGGAAAGCCAAGCTCTGGCCTCACCTGCTTGCTGTGTGGCCTTCCCTCTCTGGGCCTCTCTTATACATCAGCAATGACCTCTGCTCGTCTGCCCTCCACACCACAGCGAGGGACTGTGGCGGCTGGTCCCCTCGATGACCCCAATGCCCCCCACCTCCTGCTGTTCCTGACCTGGGGGGCCCTCTCACACGGACCCTGTGCGAACAATGGGATGTGGCAGAAATGACTTTGGAGGGGAGGTCGTGACAGGCCCTGTGGCTCTGTCCCCTGCTCTGGGATCACCGGCTGTGGGGCAGCCATATGATGAGGAGCTGAGGCCTCCCGCCAACAGCCGGGAGAGCGCGAAGGGTGGGAGCGGCTCCTCCACCCCGGTCCCGCCTCCAGAGGACGCAGCCCTGGCCACTGTCCTGACGGCAACCCCCTGAGAGATCAGAGCCGGGGCCACCCAGCTAGGCCAGGCCCGGATCCCTGGCCACAGAAACTGGGGCGGTAGTATTTCCTGTTGGTATAGCTGCTAAACAGGGGGTAACTGGTCACTTGGCACAGGTAACGGATAGACGAATCCTTTCCATATAGAAACAGGACCACGTGACTCCCTCACAAGACCCTCCTATGGCGCCACATTACTCCAAACTCCTTGACAGTCCCCAAGGCCCCCCATTACCTGCCCCGTCCCCTCTCTACCCTCCCCTCCTCCCTCTGCTCCAGCCACACAGCCTCCTCGCTGTTCCTCCAACATGCCAGGCCTGGTCCTGCCCCAGGGCCTTTGCACGGGCTGTTCCCGCCCTCAAAACACTCTTCCCCAAATGCCCCCATGCTCACTCTCTCACTTCCTTGGTTCCCAATGTCACCTCCTCAGGGGAGCCTTCCCTGATCACAGTCTTTGACACTACACTCCCATCCCTTTTCCTTTGTTCTGCTTTGTCTCTCTTCAAAGTACTGGCCACCACCAGATAGCGTACTGGATATTTTTCGGTTTAGCTGGTGATGGTCGGCCTTACCCTTCACCAGAATATGAGAACTCTGAAGGCAGGGACCGAGACTCTGAGAGTCACCGCTGTCCTCCCAGCACACAGTAGGTCCTCAGGAAAAACAATAACCGTAACAGTAACAGCAGCTGACGTTGACACTGCAGGAGCTACGTGCCTGGCATCTGGAAGCTCTCTTCATTCGTGAACTCACCACAAGCCTACGAGAGAGGCACTAGGACCGTCACCATTTTACAGGACCGTTTATGGGACACCACACCCAGCCTGGGAGGAGGGTCCCCTCTCTGTCCTCTAGACCAATGAGGACCCGGCAGACGCTTCATGAACACGACGGCAGGCTGTGGCAGGTCGGCAGCCCTCTGACCCAGCGGCGTCAGCAGGGGCGACCGCAGCCGCCTGAGCACAGACGACCCTTAGGGGCGGTCGCCCCTCAAAAGAGGGGCCACCAGGGACCACCGAAGCCGGGAGGGAGCGAGCCGGCAAGGCCTTAGGGCCCGAGGAACCCGACTCTTTGTTCCACCCAGACGAGCAGCGACGTGCCTGGGGTCACCCAGCAAGTCGAGGACAGAGAGGAGCCAGCACTCCTGACTCCCGGGCTGCAGGGGGGGCCGGCCCTCAGGACACCTGGGAAAGGCCCCTCGTCACCTCCTCACCCCGGGAGACCTTAAACTCCTGGGAAAGAAGGGGAATCTGGCCAAGAAGGCGGCTCCAGCGACAAGAGAGGAGCCAAGAAGAGAGATTGTGGCTGGAGCTGAAGTGGGGCAGACATCTCTGAGTCTGGTTTCTTCGGCTGGAATAAACCCGTGAACAGCTCATCGATGGAAGTCAGGGTCCCTTCGAGGCTCGGCTCAGACATGACCTTCGGGAGAGGCCTTCCCCGACCCCCCGGTGGAAGGGTGCAAACCCTTCCTCCCCCATCACATCCGTCTACCGTCCCCTGACGTCCTATGTATTTTACGGATCTGTTTCTTCCTAGAAAGCAACCTCCATGAAGACAGGGTTTAAAACACACATATATATATAATATATACACGCAGATCTGTGTGCACACAAAGAAAACCAGAGCCGGCATGAAATCTTTCCTGGGGGAGCCCGACAAGGCAGGGGACACCCAGCCACCCGGAAGCCTGCCACTCACACCTCAGGCCTGTCTGTCAGTGGGAAGGGGCACCCGGTGGACGTGGGGTTGAGGGGATCGGCCCCCAAAATCAAGGCAGAACCTGGGCAGCCGCCCCCCGCCCCCCACGAAGGTCTCTCAGAGACGGACACGGTGAGGGAGTAAGGGATGGAGGAGGCGGCCGGGTCCTCGGAACCCCTCTCACCCCCCCAGACTTCTCTACACCACGACCCCCCAGCACCAAGATCCCCGCAGCTAGACTCCCCCCGGAGAGGGGTCGCCCCACCCGGGATCGGTCTCCATGGAAGAGACCCCCCCGCCTCCGCCCAGGAACCGGATGCCTCAAGATCTGTCCACGCCGAGCCCCGAGTACGGGGTCCCTCATGGGTTGGTGCTCCCAGGACCCCGGAAAAGGGGTCGCCCGATATGGGACACCCCCCGCCCCCACCACCACGCGCTGGCTGCCCAGCGATCCCCGGAGCCACGGTCCCCAGAACCCGGGGAAAGAGCCCGCCGGGACCCGGAATCGCTCAGGAGGAGGCCCCTCAACCCCCACAGCCAACGAATCCCAGATTCTGGCGCCCACAGCGAGCCGTACCCCCCTCGCCCGCCCGCCAGGCCCAGCTCCGCACCGTGCTCCCGCCGCCGCCGCCGCTGCAGCTTCACAGACCGCGACGCTCGCGGCGCGCTCTGGGAGCCGCCATCTTGGCGGCCACGTGACCTGGCCGGACGGAACCAACGCAGCGCCGCGGGGGGGAGGAGTCCAGTCAAAGTCGCCGCGGCGCGGGGAGACCTGGAAGCGCGAGTGGGCTCCGGTGCCAGCGCTCACACTCACACAGCAGGCAGAGTCTAAGGACATCCCTCAGGGAAGGGGAAGGACAACTTCCATCCTTTCCCCGGAACAGAGTCTCTCCGGCCTCCCCCCCAGGACCAGTGGAAATGGTTTGTGCCGATCCCGCCCTGAGCTGGAGGGGGCCCAGGTTCTGTCGTCCGGCTGACGGTTACAGAGGGTTTCCCCGTGGGCCCGGGGCTGTGTTCAATCTGGGAAGCCACAGGGCCCCGTGCCGGGTGTGATCGGCCCCGAGGATGCTCTGGGAGAAGGAGATAGGCCCAGGGCTGCAGGAAGCAGATATGGAAGCCACACCCAAGCCCAAAGCGAGGCTGTGTACGCAGAGAATTTGGAATCTTGAACCTGCAGACCTGTTGAGAAACTGATAGCAGGAGAGACGTCTGCACCTGCTCGCACCTTCTGTGGCTCCTCGACGCTTGGCCGTGGAACCCCTAAGATCAAACTCAAGGGGTCAGTGGGGCCGCGCTCCCTCCGGAGGCTCTAGGGGCGGGATCTTCCTGCCTCTTCCAGCAGCTGGTGGTGGCCAGCAATCCTCGGCGCTCCTTGGCTTGGAGACACGTCACTCCAGTCTCTTCCCTCATCTTCCTGTGTCTGTGACTAAACCTTCTTCTTATAAGCACCAGTCACTGGATTTGGGGCCCACCCCACTCTAGTATGACCTCATCTTAACTTGATTCCATCTGCAAAGACCCTATTTCCAAATAGGGTCCCATTCACAGGTACTGGGGGTTAGGGCTTGAACGTGTCTTTTGGGGGGAACACGATTGAGCCCAGCACGCTTCGTTAGATTTCCCATCTCAGCTTGGGCGTCCAGCCTGGCGCCTGCGCCAACCCAGGCTGAGCAAGAGACATCCTCTGGGCTCCTGCAGAACGCTCTCAGCCCCCCAGGCAGAGCCCAGGAATAATTTATTGCCTGTATACAGGGCTCTGTCACCCCTCTGGACTTCTAGTTTGTCAAAACGTGAGCCGCTGCTAAAAGATGGCGAATTAAACAGGAATTGCATGATGCTTTCCGCAAGTGGAACCAATTTGCTCAGCCGTGCCGGGGATGAGCACAAAATTGAAGGAGGTGCCCCAAAACTCAGTAAATAAGGTCCATACTATTTAAATGCAATTTTTTTTGAATTGACATTTCTCTTGAGATCATTGTAGAGAAATAATTGTAAGAAATAATACAGAGGACGCAAGGTACCCTTCCCTTCTCCCAGTTTCCCCCAAAGGTAACTTTGTGCAAAATACACGCAAACCGCTAGTATAATATCATGACCGGGATGTTGACATTGATAGAATACATACCAACCTGATACAGATTGCTCAGTTTTACTTGTACTGTCCTCATTTACGTGTTTGTGTGGATTATGTTCTATGCAATTGTATGACTGTGTACTTTTGTGTGTCCTACCACAACGATGATACAAAACAGTGCCAGCATCCCAAATGTGCCAGGCTGAATAATGACCCCCGCAAAGATAATCTTGAGTACCTGTGAATATGTTGTTTTAAGTGGTAGTAAAGGAATTTTGCAGATGGATTAAGTTACAAATCTTGAGATGAGGGACCACCCTGGATTCCCGGGGCTCAGGGTCACCCCAGGGTCCTGATCAGAGGGAGGCGGGAGGGTCAGAGGCTGAGATGGAGACGCTGTGCTGCTGGCAGTGCGGACGGAGGAAGGGGCCCCGAGCCCAGGACGCGGCGCCTCTGGAAGCTGGAGGAGGCGGGACACGCTCCTCCCCTGGGGCCTCCTGGGGGACCCGCCCTGCCCTCACCTGGGTTTAGCCCCGAGAGACCCATTTCAGACTCCTGCCCTCCAGAATGGTAAAATAATTAATTTCTGTTGTTTTTAGCCACTAAATTTATGGTCATTTGTTACAGCAGCCACCAGAAACTAATGCACAGTGATCTCCCATGTTGCCTTTTTATAACACGTCCCTCCCTTATTAATGCAATATTTTAAAAAATCAAAATTAATGCAAAAAAAATCCAAACTTGTAAAGAAAGACAAGATTCAACTTTGCCCTTGCACAACTCAAATACCTGGCTCACCCTAATCCCAGCCCTGTTGGATACTGTCTTTATTTAAAATAAAACAACCAAGGGGCCAGCCTGGTGGCGCAGTGGTTAAGTTTGCTCGTTCACCTTTGGCGGCCCGGGGTTCGCCGGTTCGGATCCCGGGTGCGGACATGGCACCGCTTGGCACTCCGTGCTGTGGCAGGCGTCCCACATATAAAGTAGAGGAGGATGGGCACGGATGTGAGCTCAGGGCCAGTCTTCCTCAGCAAAAAGAGAAGGATTGGTGCCAGATGTTAGCTCAGGGCTAATCTTCCTCCAAAAAGAGTAAAATAAAACAACCAAGTCAGATGGCACAGGTGGAATTCCAATTTGCTCACTTTCTTTTCTCCCTGAGTGCTAAGTCCGGTCTGAAATGAAAGTAGGCACTATTATGGATTTAGACATTTTTTTCATCACCATCAGAATTTTTTGAAAACATCTAGTGCAGCTGAATTGTTTCATTCTACTTGTCACATTTTAGCTGGAATGTTGATCATCTTGGTTTGGAGCGAGGAGCTGTAAATATTACACACATTTACTGAATCTGCTACTGGGCCTGAGGAGAGAAAGAAATCAGACCTAGTTTGCAGAGGCAGATATTCAAGAAGTTTCTTCATTCGAAGTTTATTGACCTCCACCCTGTGCCCGGCACTGCTCTGGACATTCTTTGTGCAGTAGAATTTTCTACGATGGACATATTCTGTATCTGCACCATCCAATGTGGTAGCTACTAGCAAGACGGGGCTGTGGAGCACTTGAAATGTGGCCAGTGCCACTACAGAACTGATTTTTAAATTTTTAAAATTTTAAGTAATTTAAATGGAAACAGAGAAATCTGATACTCAATTCAGTTACTGGAACACTTTTAAGCATGCTTGGAACACCTGGGGCATGTGAATCTGCTTTTTCCACTGTAAATTTTATAAAACACACAGATCAAATATTACTAATGAAAACTGGCACCCAGGGGCTGGCCCAGTGGCGCAGGGGTTAAGTGCGCACGTTCCACTTCGGTGGCCTGGGGTTCGCCCGTTCGGATCCCGGGTGCAGACATGGCACCGCTTGGCACGCCATGCTGTGGTAGGCGTCCCACATAGAAAGTAGAGGAGGATGGGCACCAATGTGAGCTCAGGGCCAGTCTTCCTCAGCAAAAAGAGGAGGATTGGCAGCACATGTTAGCTCAGGGCTAATCTTCCTCAGGAAAAAAAAAAGAAAAAGAAAAAGAAAATTGGCACCCAAATTGAGATAGGCTGTCCATGTACAACATGCACCGGATTTTAAAACTTAGTGTGAAAAAAGTAACATAAAATGCCTCGTTGATATTTGTTGATTTTGTTGACATGTTGAAATGTAAATATTTTTGATGTATCAAGTTAATAAAATATATCATTAAAATTAATGACACTGGCTTCTGTGTATTTTTCAATGTAGCTACTGGAAAAATTTAAATTCCTTGTGTGGCTCTCGTTATGGTTGTGCTGATGGCTCTGTTCTAGATCCTACGGTGGTTGCGGAGTTCGCTGAAATCAGATAAATGTGCATTATATAATATATATAATTTCACACCAAATGAAGAAACAGAAGTCGTGTACCATGAAGTCTCTTTCCTTTCAAAGCTTTGCCCAAATGTCATCTTTGCAGTGGGACCTTCTCTGATCACCATAGTTGACACTGTAACCCCTCACTCCCTTTTTCCTTTTTTCGTTCTTCCCTATAATTCAGCTCCAGGCAGACAGAAATTTTTTTATAAGACGTTTATTGAGGTATAATTCACATACTATACAATTCACTCATTTAAAGTGTACAATTCAGTGATTTTTAGTGTATTCAGTTGTGCAACGATCATCACATCAATTCTAGAACATTCCATCACCCCAGTGGGAAAGTTCCTGGCTGTCACTCCCCACTCCTTTCTTCCCTCCAACCCCTGGCAAACACTAATTCACTTCCTGTTCCTATAGATGTGCCCGTTCTGGACATGTCATATCAATGGAATCACACACCAGGTGGCCTTTTGTGTCTGGCTTCTCTCACTGAGCGTCATGTGTTCAAGGTCCCTCCGCATTGCAGCTGTGTCAGGGCTTCGCTCCTTTTCATGGCTGAATAATATTCCAGCGTGGGGATGGACCACATTTTGTCCATCCATTCATCCACTGATGAACATTTGGGTTGTCGGCACTTCTTGGCTATTATGAATAACGCTGCCGTGAAATTCATATACAAATTTTTATGTGGGCACATCTTCAATTCTCTCGGGTAGATACTTAAATCGTGGCATTGCTGGGTCATCTGGTAGTTCTATATTTAACTTTGTGAGGAACTGCCAGACTGTTTTCCACAGTGGGTGCCCCTTTGACCCTCCCACCAGCAACGTGGGAGGGTTCCAGCCACTCCACATCCTCGTCAACACTTATTTCCTGTTTTTGTTTTGTCGTATGATAGCCAGCCTAGTAGGCGTGAAGTGCTGTCTCACTGTGGTTTTGATTTGCATTTCCCTGATGACTAAGGATGATGAGCATCTTTTCATGATCTTATTGGCCATTCATTTATTTTCTTTGGAGAAATGTGTTTGGATCCCTCGCCCATTTTTTGAGCAGGGATTTTTTTTAAGCCTGTTTGTTTTGTTCCCTGCTTCCAGGGCCGGGAAGAGCCCTCAGTAGGAGCGCCATCAATGTGGGATGAATGAATGGATGTCTTCAGGCCGGCAGTGGGGTTTGCACGTCCGGCCAGTGCACCTGTCGCTGAGTTCCATCCGCGCTCATCACGCGGCGTGACCGCCTCGTCGCGGCGTGGGTCCGCCCTCGGGCCCCCGTTTCGGTCACTGTCCCCTACTAAGAAAAGAGCCACGCCCTAAACCGAGCAGAGCCATCTCCCCAGACTCCACGCAGCCTCCTCCGCGGGGCCGCCCGTCCGGTTCCGGCCGCGGTTGCCCTTGGCAACGCGTGGCGCCGCGCTTCCTGTATTGATTCGAATCGCGGGCGACGTCACGTCCTCCCGAGATGCTCGCCGCGCGCAGGCGCAGTCAGCGGGGATGGGCGTGGTGCGCCGGCGCGCGGGGGCGTGGCGGCGGCACGCAGCGCGCCGGCGCGGGGGCGTGGCCGGCCGCGGGAGCGCGCGCGGCGGAGGAGGGCGCCGGGAGGCCGCGGAGCAGCGACCGCCGCCATATTAAGGAGCGCGGAGCCCGGGGTCCCGTCGGCGGCGGCCGCGGCCGGACCGGGCGGAGCTGCGGACGGCGGAGGCGGGCGCGGGGCGGCGCCGGGAGCGGCGGGGCCGGCGGAGCCAGCGGGCGACGGGAGCGGGCCAGGTGAGGCGGCGGGGTCTGGGGACCCGCCCCCCCCGCGCCCGAGCCGCGACCCCCGAGCCGGGCCGGGCCTGGCGGCGGCGCGAACCCTCCCCCGGGGCCCCCAAAACCGAGCCGGCGCCTCGGGCTGCGACTCCCCGCGCTCCGGGCCCTCCGGGAGCCGGGCGGACCCCCTGAACTCCGCCCCCCGAGCCCAGCGAGGCCCGGGGGGAGCTCAGCATCTCTCCTCCCGGCTGAACCCCTCAATCCGGCCCTGCGTGACCCCCAGACCCCGGGCCCCCCGCAGCCCGCCACCTCCCCCCGCATCAGCGTCCACAGCCCCTTTATAAACATGGGGCCGGGCTCTGCCCCCTCCAAACCGGGGATCCCCCACTCCACCCTCCGGAACAGCAGGCCCAGCCCGAGCCGGCGCTCTGGCCTGTCAAACCCGGCCCTGCAGGCTCGGAGCATGCTAGCTGGCCCGGCCCAGATTTAAACGGCCCCCAATAGCTGTCACGACTCACCCAGGCTCGAATCGCCCCGATAAAGTCCGATCTGAGTCCTTCGGACCCTGGGACCCCAGGGCCGGGGTGCGGATCCAGGCTGTCCGGGCGCCCATTGTATGCACCGCGCCCCTCTCGCTCCTGGCACCAGAAGCCCTTCGGCGACGCGGGTGGAATGCATAAATGCCCTCCTGGCTCCTGCCCCTCCGCCTTCTGCTCCCCCCGCCCCCAGCCTGACCCTCCCAGAATCACCGTCGCCTGCTTGGGCGCCAACCCCACCAAAATCTGAGCCGGCTTGTCCTTCCCCAGCCGCCCTCCGATCAGGGCCTATTCTGTGTCTTCCTGCAGGCACCAGCCTCCGAGCCTGGGGCCCCCCAAGTGTGGGGTGGTCCCCCCCATCAGGGCCATTGTCCCCTGCTGAGAACTGTGACCCCCTTCCCCCGTTGGTCCTGCGTGGTGTAGACCTGCCCTCACCCCGAGGCCTAGGACCCAGCGCTGTGCTGATGTCCAGCCTAAACCTGTTTTGTTCTTCTCTGTTCTCTCCCCCCGCCCAAATCATCTCCTCGTTCGGGGTGCCCCTGGGGCTGGGAACTGATCCTCCCCGAGCCCGCCCCGCTCCCCAGTCCCCAAGCGATGACCTCATGCCTCTCGTGGGGAGGCTGCCTGCCCTCCTCCATGCCCACTCCTTACCGGACTTGAATGAGGACCGTTTGTCTAAAGAAAAGGCATCCACCAGCGCCTGTGCAGCCGCCCTCAGATCCATCCTCAGGGTTAGAGACGGGGCGGGAATTTGAAGGGAAGGAGGTGGGGTGGGTTCGGGACGCAGGGAGCCCATGAGATCCTCTGGGGACAGTCCCGGAGTGGTGCACGTTGTCCCCCAGAACGCACCCTAGGCTGCTCACCGGGCAAATTTCTTTGACGTGGAGGACCCTGCCGTCTGGGCGATGCTGGGCGCGTCCCTCCTGACCCGGGGTGGAAGCAGGTGGGCTGGCCATCGCGCTGCGCTTTGCACAGCTGGCGAGGTTGGGTTGCTTGGGGAGGGTTTTCTGAAGGATGCAGGCTCTCGCTCCCCAAAAGCTGGGGCTCTCGGCCTTGCATAGCTGGGGCAGGGTCTCAGGTGGCTGTGGCAGCCGACTTCCCCCCATGTGGTTTCCTGGGAGAATCTCAGAGTCCGTCCCCGGGCCGGGGGTGGTGACTGTTTGGGGGTGGGGGGGGACCTAGAAGCAGATAGAAAAGGCTAGGGAGGCTCCAGGTGTGGGTCTGCTTATGGCGCCAGGTCCC